GGATTAGTTGTGTGCATATAAGGTTTAAGGTACCTAGGTAACGTATGAGTGCCGTCGAATTAAGTCCAGCGCACGGACATTTAATGTGGTTGTAACTTGCGGCTTGCCTTATGTACTTATACTTAGGTCATGTACCTATTGATACCTGATGCAAGCACTGAACGCGCTTTCTGCGAAAAAAAAAAGCGCGTTGCCCTTTTTAAAAAAGGGACCCCTGCTTGACCCTTAGGTTAGCTGGCAGCTGGTTAGGACCTGTTTCCAGGTCGCAAAATAAACACTAGGGAAGCGCCCACCGCCAACCTCCCATCCAGAGAGACCACAACTTCTCTACTTCTTTCTTTCTCTCCTAGCTGCTTCTCTTCGACAATCCACCCTTTTAACATCCTTAACCATCCATCATTTTTTGTTATTCGGTCTAGTTACACATCTCACAAGATTATACACCGCTAGAATCGCCCAAGATGTCTGTCGTATCTCTACTCGGTGTCAATATTTTGAACAACCCCGCCAAATTCACCGACAACTACGTGTTCGAAATTACCTTTGAATGTCTCGAACAGCTCGAAAAGGGTATATACTTCTATCAAGATGCTCTAATATGTTAATTGAGCATTGAACTTAGCTAACCAGCCTAGATTTGGAGTGGAAGCTGACTTACGTTGGCTCTGCAACTTCGTAAGTTACCATACCATGCTCTTCGATAATTGCCCTCTAATTTCGGCCAACAGCGACCAGTACGATCAAGAGCTCGACTCCCTCCTTGTTGGTCCCATCCCGGTCGGTGTCAATAAGTTCATCTTCGAGGCCGACTCCCCCAAGACTACCCGCATCCCCGATGCAGACATTCTCGGAGTGACTGTGGTCCTCCTAACTTGCTCATATGACGGCCGCGAGTTTGTTCGTGTTGGATACTACGTGAACAACGAATACGAGTCCGATGAGCTGAATGCTGACCCCCCTGCCAAACCCATCGTCGAGAAGATCCGCCGCAATGTGTTAGCCGACAAGCCAAGAGTCACGCGTTTTGCTATCAAGTGGTATGTTTATAATCTTCTATTCTTTTGATGTGTAGCTACTCTGATTATTAGGCTTGTGCTAATCCGTATGATAGGGACTCTGAGGCATCTGCTCCCCCCGAGTTTCCCCCTGAGCAGCCCGAGGCGGATCTCCAGCCCGACGAGGAAGAATACGGAGCTGAGGAGCTTGATGAGGATGTTGAGGAAGAAGGAGCTGAAGCAGCTGCTGAGAATGCTGGTGAGGCTAGTGCTGCTGCTGCAGCTGCTGATGGAGACGCTGAAATGGAAGGCGTCGAGGAGAATGGGGAGCCTGTTGAGGAGGACGAAATTTCCGAGGAGGGCAGCGTCGATCTCGAGAATGAAAGTGAGGACGACCTCGAGGAAGAAGTCGAGGGCGAGGTTGTCGAAGCTGGTGACGATGCCATGGAGGTTGACGAAACACCAGCTGGTGATTCATCCAAGCCTCAAGAGGTAATGGCCCACTAAGCACCATTTGTCTTCGGTCGGATATGATTTCAGCAGCCTATCAGTAGGCCTTTTCTGCATGCAGTTTTGGTGTGCCGTACGAAGTTATGAGAAGCCTTGGTATGAATGTTAATTGGCTTATGGTAGGAGTATGAGTCATTTGATGGTGAATGGCCGAGCATTGCTTATAGACACTTGACTTCCTGTTCCATACATAATACAGATACGAATGGTTTATACCTCTTGAGTTTACAGCTTATCAGGTACCTAGTAAAGGAATTAAATCAAAGTCATATTTATTTCGTAGGTACCTAAGGCATCTAAGTACATATAAGACATTTACCACGACGGACTGACTCGCCATCTTTCCGCCTCCTTTCCCAGACTTCCTACTCCATTCATTCTCTCCAATCCGGGAAAGGTGAGTCCAACTATTGGTAGTTCTCTGATCGCATCTTTCTTGATCAATTAGCCGTTCTATCACGATTCGTACGTTCGCATCTGTAACGTATAATGATCCCATTAAAAGGCGTGCTCTACTGATCCTAAATTTACTAATATAGCTCTTATAGGACAAGATTACGCAATAAGTATATCTTCCTTTATTTTCCTCCTATATTAAGCATGTTCCTTTGATACGTAAAATCTTATTATGCAGGTAAGGAGGCAGGAAACAGAGGAATTCCTTGGGTAAAGAGTCTGAACTACCTAATGTCTCAATACCATGGTCAACAAATGCGTTGTTCAACTGCCTATTGGTGAGTTCTTGGAGACCAATTCATTACGCGAACTCCACATTTGTTGAAGTGATGGGCATTAATCACACTAACGGTAGGAGAGGCTTCAACGACACATTTCCTCTTCGGTGATTAGGTAGTGTAGGTAGTTAACTGCTTTGCTTAATGTGTACTTATATTCCCCACGTGATGATTATAAGTCTTTCTTAAAGACTTCTTTTTGCAGTTGTCTAACAATCTTGATGGAAATCCAGCCTACATATCCTTATCTACCTAGGTACTCATGTTAGATGGCGGCGGACCAATCAAACTTCAGTTAAAATCATGTTGTCAGAGTGGATAAGTCAACATCTACCGAAAATACATAGTATAAGAACAGGGGTTATATTGCGGGGTTGGGGATATATCGGAATTGACAATACGCACGTTTCCTCGCGGAAGTGAGTTGAGGACGATCGCGATCCGAGCAGAGCCGAGAAGGGGGGTATCTGCGGTGTAAATATCACCTTAACCAAAGAACCATATTAGACAACAAGAATAACTATAGGGAACTCTTAAGCTGTCCTGAGAAAACACACGAAATTTTACGCAAGCCATGTTGTTAGACGCTGCCGAATTAGCAAAACACAATACACCATCTTCCTGTTGGATCGTGGTAAGCGGTAAGGTTTACGATGTGACGCCGTATTTGGGAGATCACCCAGGAGGGCCGGCCATCTTAGTAAAGAATGGGGGAACGGTATGTATAATCATATAGTTAGGTTCACTATACCAACACTCCTAGGGTCGTAGGACATCAAGTTTAACAGGAATAACAAAATGCGTAGGATGCTACAGTCGAGTTCCGAGCAATTCATTCCCCGGACGTATTAGAATATCTGCCAAAGGGGAGCTACCTGGGTGAGATAGACCCCGCAGCTCTAGCATCACTCACGACGACATCATCATCAAGCAAGCCAGTAACAACTTCGGTCTTACCCCCGTCCCCATCTCCATCTCCACCACCAGTTCCATCGTCGTCCCCTACTGCCGACGGACCGCCCCATATCGCACACTGCGTGACGGTGTTGGACTTTGAGGCAGCGGCGAAGGCGGTCCTCCCTAAAAATCCGTTCTCATACATCTCGAGTTCTGCCAACTCCGGCCTTTCATTGCAAGGCAACTTGTCTTCCTGGTCACGTGTCAGTTTCCGTCCCCGGATACTCCGTGATGTTCGGCACGTGTCCGCACGATCGGCCATCTTCGGTCACATCACACCCTTCCCCTTCTACGTATCGGCGATGGGCTTGCTCGGTCGAGGCCACCCAAACGCCGAAGCCGAGTTCGTACGTGGTCTAGCGCGCCGGGGGGCCCACGCTATGATCAGCAGCGAGTCTTCGCTGCCTATGGAGGAAATTGTTGCGGCGCTAAGTGATGAGCAGCAGAAGCTTTCAAGCCAAGCTGAAAGGACGAATCAGCAGATCGATTTTCCTCCCTCGCAGCTCCATTTCCAGCTCTACGTGCACTTAGACCACGCTGTCACGTTGGGTCGCATCAGGCGAGCTAAGGCCGCCGGTTTTAAGAGCATCTGGGTCACTGTCGACACGGCAACCCTGGGAAAGCGCACGTCCGTCCGACGAGTTCAGGCAGCAGAAGCGCTTGAAGCCGGGCTTGAAGATGCTGCGGAACAGGCTGGGGTCGGAAGGAACACCGGGTTTTACCCGGCGAGGGGGCATCAGCCGTCACTATCGTGGACAGACCTCACATGGATCAAGAAAGAGTGGGGTGGACCCCTTGTGCTCAAGGGCGTGCAGTGTGCCGAAGACGCGAAGTTGGCACTGGAGCACGGGTGCGAAGGCATCCTGCTCAGCAATCATGGTGGCAGACAGGCACACACGGCGCCTGACGCGTTGACTACACTGCTCGAAATTCGGACGTATTGCCCGGAGGTGTTAGGGAAACTCGACATCTTCGTCGATGGCGGCCTGCGCGACGGCTCCGATGTTCTCAAGGCCATATGCTTAGGCGCCACGGCCGTAGGCGTGGGCCGCCCCTTTTTTTACGCGCTAGCGGCCTATGGTTCGAAAGGGGTAGAGAGATGTATTGACAGTATGTTTTTTCCTCACAGTCCCCCATTTTCCAAATCACAAGATGTTATTTACTAATATGTTTTCCGTGTAGTTCTTTCCGAGGAGTTAGCTACGGGAATGAGGCTTATTGGAGTTACATCTCTTGATGAGGCGCAACCTGATAGGGTTAATGCTAGCCGTTTACTGAATGAGATGTGGCGTCCTGAGAAGAGTCGTCTTTGAATACTTCACATCTATGTTTATATATATATTAGTATTTAGTATATTTAAGGCGTTTTTGTTAAACTCCCACTTTACTTCCAACGAAGACAATTATCAGCGAGGCCTAAGTATATCATAAGTTTTTTTTGGTCACAAAGTATCAGTGTTGGAGGTATCGTATCTTCGCGCCCTCCGAGCCCTACATGAGTATCTAGGTACTTTAGGCAAGTAATTGGTTAATTAAAAAAGTAAATACAGCGAGAGAATGACTCCGAAAAAATAGAGACATATTAAGCCTGAAAACTTGAAAAATAAAATTCATTATTTATTTAAGGTAAATAAAAAAGGTACCTATGATAAGTAAAACCCGCCGCTGTTCGAAAGTACTTCGGATCCTAATAACACCGGAGGGCACGAAGATGCGGTAGGCTACGGGCGTGGCTGTGCAAATCAGCCAGATCGGTCGGGCTGGCATCACGTCGAACTATGGATGCTATTCAGTTATAACCGTGCAAAGTGGTAAAACAACATAAATCTTTTCAACTATGTAACAAAATACTTTTTATACAATTTCCCACTACCGGAATGTCTGGCCCAAGGAAAATTCCTCATGGCATAGCTGGCCTAGACCGCTTGAGCCGAACGGCCTACCAATTCGGCCTTGGGTATCTATGGAAGGATTTCGAATCCAAACTCCCAGATCTATTTGTAGATGATGCAACCCAGAGCAGGGTCGGTGTTGCTATGGCACAGAAAAATGAGACCCATTGGGTATCAACTCCAGAAGAATTATGCGCTACTCTAGGGAAAGGAGTCCCAATGTTATTGTAAGAGCCATTTCGTTATCCAGTTGAATCGGGTTGCTTTATGATTGACAGGAACCTCTCCAGAATCCTCAATCGTTATAATTCATGGAGTAGGATAGATATCACCATTGAAGGCTTCTCCGCGGTATGCCATCTTGCTGGAATTACGCCCTTCTTTTTGCACTTCGTAGTTGGGATGGGTCTTAAGTTCTCATCAAAGGATGAAGACTTTATGGCATGCTATAGCACATTTATATCGGAGAAGAATCGTTCGGTTTCCAGCCTGAGTAGGACAGAAACCCACAGTGATTCGCTTTGGGGTACGCCTCTCTCGTTGTTATATCTTGAGCTTATGACCCTCTAATGTCTTGATTCACCTACCTAGGGATATGCTACAACATTAGGCATTTTGAACGGCATCATCGAGATTTGGAAGACTCATGGTCCTGTCGCCACTCGGCTCTTCACCAGAACTTCTCCGCAGTTTCCAAACAGCCAACATGGGTCATCATCCAACCCCCTGAAGTGTTTGACCTCAATGTAGACTCGGTATCGCACCCAATGGCCTTGCACCTTCGATATCTTCAAGCAGCTCTTGCAAATTGGAGAGAATATCTCGACTCCTTTGCCCAAGTATTCAAGCTCCTCGTGAGTAGATTCCATTTCATGAATATCCTCTACCGAGCCCGTCAGACCGTCTAACTTTAACGCCCGCACTTACCGTCCCTGTCTACAGAATCAACAGATAGCAATACCAAATCCGTATAATAAATTCAAGATCGACTTTTCGCACGAGCAACGCCTGCACTACCATAGAGGAAAGCTTCATCATGCCCAGAGCATTCTCACCAACACGAGGAACACTTTCAATATCATCACCGAACACGAGTTTGCTGTAGCACAAAAGCAGAACCTTTGCCAAGACGTTCACGATGACTTCCAGCGAAAAATGCGTAATATTTCTCGGGAAGTCGATAATTATATTGAAACAGCGCACAAGCTTCTTCGCATGTCAGATGATTTGAGGTTGATGGTAAGTCATAGTAGTTTGACTCATGCCTAGCAATAACAAGTTCTTGTTGCGAGTTTGGCCTTACCATTGTGCAGTATAGCAATATCCTCACATTTCACGGCCAAGAGTTGCAGCACGATACTAGCCTAAAGCTTGCATACCTGGCGCAGGCCGATGCCAGCGGAAGCAGAGACATGGCAGTCTTGGCTGACCTTACGTATAAGGATTCGCGATCTATGCGTATTGCAACGGCTATTGCCATGTTCTATCTTCCAATAAATCTGGTCATGGTGCGTATCATAGTCTTTCAAGTTCATATCCTTCATTAATCCCTTGATGATCATGGGTCGTGACATCTACGTTCTGTTTCAAGGCTTTCTTCGCCATCTAGCTAACCTCCGGGTTCTCGACATTAGTCATTCTTCAGCAGTACACTGGTCTGGTATGGAACGGCAGTTGATGTGGCAGAAAGCTACAGTTCTAGTATCCAAATCCGCAGCGAGGTATGGATCGCGAGCGTAGCGGCTGTTGTGCTTGCTATTGGCACTGTGTGCTGGTCTTGGTGGTGGAATTGGAGGGAGCAGAAGAAGCCAGATAAGAAGGCCCTTCAAGAATAACTTCCATATCAATGTTCAGTTAAGTGAAACTTGTTATGATTTATAACTAGTAGAATATCAATTCAAAATACAAAACCTATGCTTATTTAGTAAGACTATAATAGGAGGTTTCATATAATCTTTGAATAACACGTATAAATTGAAAACTTCAAATCGGTCTTATAGTCATTGCGTTAATCTCATGTGTCTACATCTGATACCATGTTCCTGAAGACCAGTCCCAGCGCCCAATCAAGTCCCCCCTCTCCAGCTTCAGCCGTTTATTTATTCCGTGACACGGAGTTCTTTTCGGCCTAGCTCAAATCGTTTAGTTTTAAATCATGTATCTTTCGCCAGTCGACGATTTTACCTCTGTGAGCTCTCTGGATGCCTCTACTGAGATTGTGTCTCCTGAGGCCTAGGATGCATTAGCAAACGATACCTGTATTACGCCTCCAAACACAGCACTTACCACTACACTGTAGTTCTGTCCAAAAAGGGCCTGCAGCAACTCATTCAACTTTGCGCGGTCCACGTAGCGTGTTTCCAGATATGTCGTAACCATCATTGTGGCCATATCGTTTCTGCAGCTAGAAGTAGGCTGGAATGTTGGTATAAGGCGCACAAGAATGCCCAACCGTTTGAGTTGCCCGACTTATATGCACATGGCAGTGGCTATGTCAGATTGTCACATGGCCAATCGCAATGATACTCTAGATCAGCACCGCCCAAGCATTTTTTTTTTTTTGCTCGGCGAAGTAGGATGCCATTGCATTTGCGCCCACCCGTTAACCAAGTATTACCATTGATTGCCAAATAGGCTACACCCTTCTGATTTTATATCCTCCTGGCACCCACGATCGCTTCCACTCTTGGACCGCAAACATCATGGCGGGCATAAATGGTTGCATTGGCAACCTTAGGAAGCAGATACAGGATAGCCTGGTTACCTCGCTTTCCCAGCGCGATTTCCTACCCACCGACAAGCTTCACGAAATATTTACTCTCCGAGCAGTTAAGGGCGCCGTCGAAGAACTTAATTGCGGCCCAGATGATCGCATCAAATTAGCGGACACGATATATCACCAAGGCAAGAGGGTGTTTGCCATGCTCATTTACAGCTATTGGCAAGATCTCATTATAGAATTCCGCAAGCATGATGCTCTTGATAGCCGACTCCCGCTGACTGAAGCTGATGCGATGACGATTATCGAACCCGGCATTGCGCTCCGGATTGCCCGGGAGGTCCAGTGGGGCTTTTGCCCCTATACCTTCCCGGAGAACATGTCGGAGCATCATCGTGAGATTCAAAGCAAAATAATTATTCCTTTCATTGGTGCTGAGCAAATCGGCTTTGGCGCATTCAGTAATGTAGATAAGATGACTATCTCGCCGTCTCACCAAAACTTTGACAAAGATGTACGTATAGGTGCTTTCAGATTAACTCCATCTCTGGTTTCTGCTTAAAACATCTTAGACTCACAGAATGCTTTCCAGGCGAAAACATTACAAGTAGTGCAAAAGAAGCTCAAGAAGAAAGGCAAGACTGAGGAGTTTGAAAGAGAAAATAGGTGTTTGCGACTCCTAAACCAGCTGCACCATCCCAACATCATTCCTCTATGGGGCTCTTACACGTGCTGTGACGAGCAGAACTTCCTCTTCCCATATATTGACATGGATCTCGGTTCGTTCCTAAAGGCTAAAACCCGCCACCAAGATTTCCAGTGGGATTTTACTTTCTACTCGGCTCTCACAGGGCTCGCTTCGGCGCTGTCAAAAACACACTACCTTCTCCTCAATCAAGCTGACCACGACATCGACTTCGAGGCAATCGGCTACCATCATGATATTCGACCACCTAATATCCTAGTTGGTCCCGATACTTTCATCCTGGCTGACTTCGGACTGGGGAGGCTAAAGCAGGCGGGGGACCCGTCGCACACGCCTTACAAATGGATCAGTGGGGATTATGTTGCTCCCGAAAGCACTGACAGTCAAGAGAACCCACTTACCACCAATCGAGCCACCGATGTATGGGCGTTTGGTTGTCTTATCGCCGAGGTTGTCACCTATATGCTGAAAGGGACAGCGGGGGTCGAAGAATTCCGCACGAAGCGACTCACACCAGGAAGGTTTCCTCAATGGAAAGATACCGGCTTCTATCAGCCTTGTGGTAATGTCAAGCAAGAAGTCATCGATTGGATGGGGGCGTTGAGGCGCGATAATTCCCATTCGGACTTTGTCCCCCTGCTCGTTGACCTAGCTCTTGATGCTCTTCAGCCTGATCCACGAAATAGACCTGACATGAACACTATTTATATACGCTTGAAAGTTTTGAGTATGCAAAAACACTTTCACGCTATCCAAGAAAAGTTTCGTGAGGTTTGCGAGACCGGAGAAAAACTAGTACCCTCACACAAGCGCCACCTGGGGAGTCTTGGATATGCGTACGAACGGTTCGAGGTATGGGGCAACACTCTCACTCTGGATAAGAAAGGATCTCCTCTTCATGACGAAGATCAACCTGATGGTTCTATTGAGATCATGAAGAAGTTGTTTCAGGCACTAAGAGAAGAAGTAGAAATGCGACACTTGGGTGATGGGTCTGCCTTGTTTTCCCATGAACACCGGATAGTCCAAAGCGTTGAATCTTTATGGAAATACTTGCCGAATAGCCTTCTTCACTCGGTTGAGAATCAACGGCAAGAGAAAGTGAATGGTGAACTGGATGGTCAACTTGTTGAACAAGGGCAGAGTTCGTGCCATGCAGCTGACAACGTTGTATTGGCCCCCGGTATATCTAACTCTATCGATCCCTTTAAGTCCGAATTCGAAGAAAAGGCGCGAAAGTTCAAAGATAACCTAGATAATGTTATATCTTTCGACGGGATCCTCAAGATAACATCTATTGGCGATGTGTACGACATCACAGACACAATCCAGGACGAGCAGAATGAACACGATAATCTTCGCAACCTAGCGAAAATCCAAAGATATTTGGAGCGCCTGAAGGGGTATGCTGACGTGATAGATGGTATTATCAGTGGGGGCCGCGATGTTCTGGCACTCCTCTGGGGGCCGATAGGAATCCTTTTACAATTAGCGAGACCGTTGAACAAGGCTTACGACTCGCTCATTGACGCTGTTGCTGAGGTAGGGCAAAGTTTGCCCGACTTTCAAGTATCTACCTCAATATTCAACCAAAACATGGAGGCTAAAGAAATTCTGCCCTTCTTTTTCAAAGATCTACTAGACTTTTATGGTGAAGCGTTGAATTTCTTTTGTCACCCTAGTAAGTGTTAACCTCAAGATGTGCATTTTAGGACACTATACACTGCGATCTATTACTGACCTTACCTAAGACTGGATGAACGTCTTTGATCGCCTGTGGCCAAAGCAGTGTGTGCACTACTCTGAAATTGTAAACCGTATACGACGGCTTACTCGACTGATGAGGACAGAAATACGCATCGGGGATATACAACAAGAAGACGAGTTTCGAAAGAAAGCACTGGAAAGTTTTAAAGCGCAGAGAAGGGAGAATTGTGGGCAGGAATTCCACCGTATCATGACATCTTTTAGTCCATGCAGATATGATACTACCCAGGATCGCCTTCGTAGCCGTCGCTATCAGGGAACTGGAACTTGGCTCTTTATGGACAAGACTTTCACACAATGGCTCAACAGCTCGCAGGAGGAGACTCGAATCTTATGGTTGAAAGGGATACCAGGGGCAGGTAGGTATAGACCCCGTTCTCAAAGCTCTTTCCAGCATTACGAATACCTCAAAAGTTCCAATGCTAGCCTATAAATAACCCTATAAGTTATTCACTACAATGGTCCAAACTATATCTAATTCTGAGGTAATTTATCACAGGCAAAACAGTTCTCTCTAGCGCAATCCTAGACCATTTAAGAGATATCCAAGGGATCAAGACAGCCTTTGCATTCCTTACATACCAGGAAGCTAAGACTTCAGCGTTGTCAACAATCCACTCACTTATCTTTCAGCTGGCAGAAAGAAATGAAGATCTCATGGCTATCGTTTGTGAATCCACGGACAGAGACCTGAGGAGCAATCTCAACGGCGCAGGCAATATTCTGTCGTCTCTTATCCATTATGCTGGCTTAGTCTATCTCGTTATCGATGGTGTCGATGAAGTCAGGGAAGCAGAACGGGGTAGACTCGTTACAGAACTTCTTAGGTTAATTGGGGTATGCGGAAGCCTACGAATTGTCCTCAGTACGCGACCCGAAGCCGATCTAACGCGGCTACTGGGTGATAAAGCAGTCGTGATCCAGATTCATGACCATAATAAAAGAAGCATTGAGGACTACGTTCGTGAACGCGCCCAGTACATCTTTGGTACTCGACGGGTTCCCCTTAATAAGAAAGACAAGATCATGAAGCTTTTGGAGCCGTTGGCAAGTCGTGCGGAAGGTATGTTCCTCTATGCTCGGCTCGTTATGGATATGGTCGCGACTATACATGACTTGTCAGAGTTACAGAAAGAATTGGCAGTCCTCCCAGAAAACCTTGATGCTGCGTAAGAGTGCCATGCCCAAATTTATAGGATGAACTGGAACTGACCGTTTGTCTGGTAGTTACCATCGTATCATTGTACGTTTGGAAAGTCATAATGACAAGAGAAGAACAGAGAAGGCTCGGAGGCTGTTAGGATGGGTTGCATGTAGTGCAGCTCCAATTACTGTCGAGGAGGCTCATCAAGCATTAGTTGTGATGCCAGGTAATCGGGACCAAGTATTCGAAATGGTGTCAAAGCTCGATGTTGTCGAGCTTCTTGGTCCAATCGTGGAGACTGTAGACAACTACATACGATTTGTTCACTTCACAGCAAAAGAGTAAGTAGTGTGCGTCAAAACGTGTCGATCTACTGCTGACTGCCTTGAAGATATATCTCTAGCCCTCACCTCGGAGTGCAGCTAATTAACACAACCCAGGCCACACTGGATCTAGCTCTGCGGTGCATCGCATATCTATGTCAACGTCATCATGATCCTGATTTATCATTGAAAGAGCGATGTGAGAATGTCACTACTGGGCAATATAGCCTCCATACCTTTGCAACACGTATGTGGTTTGAGCTGGTCTGTCAATATTTTCAGTTAATCGGAGAGGCGGATCCGTCAACCGAGCTGGTCGAATCTATTCAGATGCTGTGGGAATATAGAGAGACACGAGGCCTTCATGGTACCGCGGGGGACGAGAGTGACATTAACAGCGAGGACAAAAGCGATAGGGAAGCTATTTTCGAAACGTTAAAGGGAAAGCACCCTCTGCTTTATCAAGTACTCTGCAGAGTGTCGCGGTTTCGCAATTCATCTTTTCTTTTCACTGGCCAGACAAACCAAGGTAAGACTGCATCATCCACGCTTTCGAAGTCGTTACTAGTCGAATACATAGCTAACATTTATCAATGTGAACAAGACTCCGACAAGGATATACATGATCCCTTATTAATATCAAAGATATCTCAACTCATTCGCCAGGCCTTGAAGAACTCCCTCTGTAATTCACCAACTGGCTGGCTCATGTCCGGCGAACATGGATGTCATGAAGACTGTGCCAATATCCTGTATTACTACGGATCACGTCCATTTAAATGCAGGTTTCTAGGGTGTAAAACCTGGCAAGACGGCTTCCAAAAGCGTACTCTCAAAGAAAGACACGAACGTTCGCATGATAGGCCTTTAAAATGCCATGTTTCCGGCTGCGAATTTGAACTTGTCGGCTTTTTGTCCGAAAGGATGCGGCAAAATCATCTCAGGCAAGCTCATCGAAGAGATCCGACGGAATTGAGCTTCGACACAGAGAATATCACCCAGGATGGAGTTGAGATCATACTTTTTGACTTTATTAAAATAAACCAAGTGGAAGCTGTTCAAAATATCTTGTCTGCCTTCCCAACCGCTCTCGAGTCCCATCAAACTCTACATAAGCTCCAACTGCTTGCCGCCTCTACAGCTTCAAGTGATATGTTGAAGTTGTTAGAAGGGGCGGATAGATGTAATGCAGCGAACCGAAAATTACACGAATGCAAGGAATGTATTACAGAGTCAATTAACGCCCGCAATGGGAGCACCTTAAGACACTTCTCGTCTATAAATACAACTTATAATAGCGGCAATATAAAACGGGACGAATTTTGGGAATTTCTACTCCTCCCCTCTAGCACGGCCATTATGGAACTGGTATCGAGTGACTGGCTCGAAGGAATGCAAATTTGGGCCAAATGTATTCTAAATCGGCTAAACTTACTCTCCGATGCGACCAAGAAGGGGCTTAATTTCTCCACGATATCACGAAGCAAGCAGTTTATTAGGGCCGCATCACACCGGTTTGGAAGCAAGCAGCTTATTATGGCCGCATCACACCCGGTTGGTGACCAGCAACTTCTCTGCTTGTGGAGAGACTCTGGGCTCGTTCCCCTTTGGGGTAACGATTGGGCTAATAGAACTCTGAAAAATGTAGCAGAAGTTGGTTTATCAATCACTTTAGCAGCGTTTTTGCTTGACCAAGGCGCTGATATTAACTATAGACGAGGTCCTAAAGTTCAAACTGCACTTCAACGTGCAGCGAAGAAAAGCTCTGCTAAGGGAGCTGAGATGATCAGATTTCTTCTTCTAAACGGCGCTCATCCAAGGGAGAGTATACGTGAACAGGTGGGCGCAAAAAATATTTATAAATGGTTAGGGAAGACCTGGGATGAACTTGTTGACGAGACTAAAAGTATACGGAATGATAAAGTCAAATGACTTTCAGCTGTTCCGTGACCCAGTATTCAAGGCTTCGATCCCACAATACAATTTATGCAATTATATTATCAAGTCTTGTATCACAATAACCTCTCCTTTCACCTCTTTTAGTCCGTATGCATTGCGTGGCAGGTACTTCTATTCTAGCATCTTTTTCAATCTCTATAATCCTGTCAGTAGAGCGTCATTCAAATAAATTGTGATTACCTAGGATTGGATCTTACCTCCCACCTTCTGTATTCTAGATCGGCATCCGTTATTCCATTCGTATCCATAGCCTGATTAATTATTTGCAATTTTTCCTTCTGCACATCTTGGACATACTGGATAGGGCCACTCATATTAGTAATGGGAAAGTTCGACAATAGGATAAAAAGGTTTGTTTACCGTTTCTACGGAGTTGGGGACGATATATCGAATAACTGTGACCTCTTGCGTCTGGCCTATGCGATGAACCCGATCAACCGCTTGCGCTTCTACCATAGGGTTCCAATGAGGCTCTAGCAGATGCACTACACTGGCGACTGTGAGATTAACTCTAGAAAAGTGTACGTTAGTTTGATAAAAGTTGATAATAAAAAGTTACAATTCATACTTACCCTTCTGCAGAACTACCGATAGTAGCTAACATCACTGTGCAGTCAGGATTGCTATTAAACTCTTGCAGGGCTCTTCGGCGTCCCTCTAGGCTGGTATGCCCATCGATGCGTTGGAAGTCTATCTGCTCCTGATGGAATGCCCACTGAACCAAGTCAAGCATTTTGACCCAGGAGCTAAATACTACACTACACTTGATCAGCTATACGCTGTATTCTCTAGAAGTGAGCGCGTTGGGACATACCTCTTTCTCGGCCTGGTGCTGTCCTCTGCTTGCGCCTGTTTTAGATTCCCTAACAATGCCAGTACCTTAGCCGAGGGTCGATAACAGACTTTGGCTGAACTAGAGCTTTCAGAACTGCCTGATCGGTAAGCCGCTTTGTCTTTTCTGCTCAGGTTTGACGGGCCCTCCTTTGAAGTTGCACAATTGATGCATATGGAATCTTGGTCCTCCGTCCCAGAGACGCCGTCGTCAATTCGGCCCCCGCAGAGGGAGCACCCACCAGAGCAAAGTTGTTGCATTTCCAAATCCAAGAAAGAACCCGAAACCTCCACTCCTTTCCCTATTACCTTATCAGGCAGAAGTTGCTCTCCGTGATCGCAGATTCGCTGCAAGCACAATATGAGTGATAAAATGTTGTATTCCTTGCCTTTGGGTAATGAGCCATCCCCTAATCGATTCCCCTGACCTGCAGCCTTTTCTACGCAGAGTTTCTTGTAGACGTCATATAAAGCCTGATCCTCCTGATGAAGATGAACTTCGTGCACCCTTTCAAAACGCGGGGGAAGTTCTAAGGTTTTCTGTTTCGTCCTCCTAAGACACGTTGCTCGGATAAGTCCTCGGAAACGCTCGATTCCAAACTTGTTCCCCTCCTCCACGGGTTTAATAATCCAGGTCATGAAATTGGACTTTTGCACAAACGGAAAGACGCGTATAAAGCTAAGCAAGGCGCCATAGTCGTCGAGGGAGTTGTGAATTGGTGTTCCTGTCAAACACCATCGATAACGGGCTACGAGGTCACAAACCGACCGGAAAGCCTTTCTTGAGCGATTGCGAATGTGGTGGGCTGCAGTGAGATTAGTCGAGAGGGTAAAGGCTAGATATACACGAGACTTTGCTTACCTTCATCTAAAATAACTCGAAGCCATCCCCAGGAGAAAAGAGGACGTGTTCCTTCTGGGGTTTCCCACTCGGAGCGAAGCGTTTCATATGTGGTGACGACAACATCAGTGTTGCAGAATTGGTTGGCAAGACTCTCTCGACCGGAGCCGTGATATACCTTTATTCGTATCTGTCCTTCATGGATGTGTCTAGAGGGCCAACATATTGTGAGTCCTTGTCCTTATTTAGATAATACCAAAAGAAGTTCTTACTCTGAGGCCTGGTCCATCCAACTGTATATAGCTTTTCTCCCCATCAGTGTCCCATAAGTATCATGTCTCTTAGCATAAACTCACTTGACTTTGGTGCAACAATAAGTGTTCCCCGGTGTGTTGTTTTCTGATTTTGATCCATTACCGTAGAATCAAGATCCAAAGAGGAGCAGATCAGCGCCAACACGCTTAGGGTTTTTCCAAGGCCCATATCCTTGATCAGTCTTATTAGTATCCCAAACGACGGTAGGTACAAGGGTGACATACATCAGCAAGTATTCCTCCCATAGCTGGGATAGGTCTAGGCTCAAGTCGCCCCGTAACTGTATGACGATAACTTAAAGTCAGGGTAAGGCATCAAACCGTCCCCCTTGAACTATTATTCCTTAGAATTACTTACTGCACGTTGTTGCTATTCTTAACAAGTTCCTTTCTCCAAAGCGATGGAAATGTCGGCTCCTCAATATAGCCACTTTCCTTCTCATGCATCATCGCCAGCGCTATAATTTGATGTCTGGGTAATTTCCAAGTGTTAGCCATCGTTCACATTAAGCTGAAGTATGCTAATACCCCATAAGTTTTGTGCGAAGTCGTGGACTTAATGACGTATTTACCACTGTTACTGCTCCACCGTCCGCTTCGGCGGATTCAATAATTCGTAGAAAATGGCCTTTACTCATTTCGCCTCTTATCTCTGTATGGGTAGGATTGTCATCCACGGTGTCTAGGCTCAAATTCTCAAGTTTCGGCATTTCAGCGCCAGGGCGAACAAGGTAATGGGGGTTGTCATATGGAACTCCAGGTATGACTTCCGTAGCATACGGTTGCTGTAGAAAGCAACCAGCATCTGAAAAAAGGTCTCCGACGGCTTCCTTATTACTCCCCAGGCCATAGATCACAATGCGTATGCTGTACTCTCGGGCTGCTTTGACGGGGGCATTCTTTTTCATTTTAGGTTTATTTATCCCTCCTAGGTCCTTTTCCTCCGAGATGAAGAGCGTAGCATCTAGTTTAAGGTGAATTTGACGAAGTGCATTTGCGAGCTGACAATTGTTTAGGATACCCGCGTATGCATCAGAATCCTGCTCGTAAACCATTAGAGTACCTCCAAATGGCTTCAGATTCACAGGTACAGAGTGAGCTGTATTCTTCTGTGAAAAGGAAGATGTGGGTACTGCTAGCACCTTGCGAGTTGTTAGAATACCGACAGGATCTTAGGGTAGAGGTGACTTACAACGCCGAAACAGGTATCGTAATCGCTATATACATCCTTCACGGATTCAGTTAAGAGTGACTCGGCCTGGTCTTGTGACAGAGGTTCATTGGCTTGGGATGCGCCGATTCCAGAGCGGACGTCTGGTGTGGTCGCATGTCCTTGAAAGTGACTTCCTTGGGAATCCCAAAGGCCATTAATCTCTATGAAAGAAGGCGATTCTTCGAAATATCTACTTAGGGTTGGGACGTCGTAGATTGGGGTATTGCCCATAGAGATATCGAGTTGGACTGAAGGCGGAAAGTAAGAGTCAATGAGGAGTGGTTGGGATAGAAAATTCCTGGCGCAGGTCTCCGTGGCTAATATCAAATCCGACTGTGCCCAATCAGGCACCTGAGCCGTCCCTAAAGGAAATATAGGTTGCTCTTCGTCAATGTACGGCATAGGGTCATATATACTTGTCGGCATTTGTTGTCCCATTTCTACTGAATCAAAGGATACATTCTCGATTTCACCGCTGGTCAAGTTGTTGAGCTGGCTTCCAGAACCATATTCAAGCAGATTCCCGTGGCTATAACGGAGATCTTGGGTTTGGAAATATGAGTCCTCGTAGACAGGTAATGGCGGCTCATTGTCTGGAATATTGTCACCTGCATCATTGTCGCGTGGCTGCGTACGGGATTTTTTTACCTCGCGATCTTCGAGAGCTAGGGTGGAACTTGGTCGCTTACTGCCTATAGTAGATCGCTGATTCCAAAGCCTGTCGTTATCCATAGCTGGATGAGTAAGAGTCGTTGCTGAAGGAAAGGTTTTTTTTTTCTTTTAAAAAAAAAGGGGGCGGAGGGGAGGGAGAAGTTTATACGCTCAGAAACAATTCATATTGCAGCTCACCTTTTACGGGCGTTTTTGGATGATAAGCACTGCCTCGAGTTTGTGCCAGCTTGATTATTTGGCAGTATCTAAGGCTAACACGCACACTGGCGTATTCGTAAGCCTTATATCTCAGCCAAAGGGTCAATCTGCCTTAACATTTGCCTAGTGTGGCGTATGGTGATGATTGGCTCTAATAGAATGCGCTGGTTGGTTAGCTGCACTCAGAGAGCACCGCCAAATGACCGTACATACTTAAACACCAAACAGCCAAGCCATCTGCCCTTAAGCCCTTAAAAAGCTACCGAAACTAAACGAGGTTAATAAAGGGGTTTCTCGGGTCGAAGTAGAACGGAGATCCGCATTATCGGCGATTTTGAGCGGACGGGGCCGCTAAGCGTGTAGCGGGAAGGTAAAACGCAAACGCGGCAGCTTGGTTTTACCCGCGCTTTGCTTAATAACGGGACTATTTTAGTCTAAAAGCTAACTTGCTACTTGCCGTGACTTAGTTAAAGCTTAAAGCTTCTACGTAAAAATTAAGTCTTGTCGGGTTAATATATTACATGGTCTTCAAGACTTAACACCGTGCCGTGTCATCGAAAACGCGGGGTTGATTTAGCCCCTTTTCCAGCGGGTTTCAAAATTAACGTTGCAAAATCCACTGACCAAACGCTTATTTTTCGTGCAAGTACTCGTGCAAATATAATGAATGGGAAAGGTCTGGAGGTTATTCGTTGCTTAGTCCGTAGAGTTGATATCCCGATCAAAATTCGCAGTCATCTTAGGTACGTACCTATAGTCGGCGTCTGCCGATTGTAGGTATAGGATAGGTAAATACATAATGGCGGGTATATAACAGAGCACGAGATCAATTCCAGCAAAAATATATAGAGGTAAGAAGTACATATGGGCCTGTCCAGCGCCTTGGATCCTTCATAGGGCCTAGGTCGGTCGTCATATGAGTTGATGATCTGAAATCTTACGCCAAGCAGAGGAGTGCCATCAAACGACGTAGGAACACGAGCCCTCTGGTGATAGCCTTAATAGGCAATATTCCGTGCCTGTCCTAGATGGCCGATTTCCTGTTCGCATCTTTCTAGGACGAATTTCCTCATTTCTTCACCGAGAAGACAAGACAGTATTTAAAATGAATATGTATTCTGTCTTATACCCCGCATCACTATACGAAGCTTACCTCTCGATGCGGACTTAGTGCTGAACTCTCAGCCGGGGTACCTGTAAGTAATTATATACGACGGCCCGAAAGGGGATCTCGTGAGCCGAGTATTAGGTCAGGTAGGGTCGGTGCAGTAAGCATTCCAGGTGTTGGATGCGATACATAAACCGTAGTTGTGGTGAGAATGGTGCTTGAAAACGTTCCAGAAGGCCGCTAGAAACTAGTTGATATGAACGACACGACTGCCTAACGCCATGGCACATCTCGTAGTAAATTGGACTTGAATTATGCTGACGGTAAACCGTATTGTATCAAGCATGGGGGCCTTGACGTGATTAAGCACGAACCTTTTTCAACGCCGATGTCTCGCATGATGCGGACTGTGTTGTGTGGTATTGAGATACGGATTAGATTGTAAATTACTGAATCTATTAAACTAAACTACATATATACATGATCGTAAGGTTTGCTTTTGTCGGTTGCTGCCGTAGTCTTTTCTATGTATTTGGAAGAAGTTAGCATTCCCCAAGCTGCCAAGATGTCAATTCCAGACCCTACTTCGTAAACGTTTAGCTTCCTCGTTGGTTCGCAGTATATAAACGACCGCTTTGTTGTTGGCTATGTCAGCATGATAATATCAAATAGACCAATGATAAGTGCTACGGCGCAAAGCGGCATAGTGGTGTGACTAGGTTACTCGTGCTTGGCGGCTTATGATTCCGACAGGCGAGTCATCTATCGGGGTAAGATCACCATACGATAGCCTGGCTAAGGATCTGATGCAGCATTTACTGCTATCTCATTCGACTAGGCGACTAGATGCTGAACGGTCTGAACGGTCTGATCTGGGTAGGTAACGTCGTGACACCGATAGGGGCAAAATGACAAAGGGTGTAGGACTCATACGTATTAGAGCTGAACGTTTTATCATTTTACTTTCTTCCGCTGTTTCGTGCCACATATAATTCATAGCTTTCCCCAATCCTTCCTTTCAAGTGATATTTCTTGCTGGAGATTGGATCATCGCCGACGCCATTTAGAGCAATATTCTATTAATTTGTCGCTACAATAGTCTTGATTAGGTGGTTTCGTGTCTGAGGAGAAATTCGTCGAGTGGTACAAGGTTACGTAGTATTCTCATCATGGCGAACGAAGCGACCGGCGACAGCGTCGTGACCGCCCACGATAGCCCTCCTATTGCCGAGGAGAAAGTCCCGCATGTGTCGGATCTCAAAGCTACCGGTTCGGGCCAGGGTTCGGAAATAGATGGTCGTCTCTATGGACCAAATGGAGAGGAATATCCCACAAAGGAAGAACTAGATACTTTACGACGCGTCAAAGGTCCTATTAATTTGATTATCTACACTATTGCTTTCGTCGAACTTTGCGAACGGTTCGCTTACTATGGAACTACTGCTGTCTGTACGTCTAACATAGTTGCATTTCAAATTTGTTTCCGGATTTAACTAATTTTTGTACAGTTGTCAACTTCATTTCGCAACCTCTTCCCCCCGGCTCTACCACCGGAGCCGGCGGCACGGACCTACAAGCTGGTGCTCTCGATCAGGGTCAGCAAGCTTCGACCGGTTTAGTGCTGTTTAACTCTTTCTGGTCTTATCTGATGCCTTTGCTTGGTAAGTGACATTATATCATCGAATATATTTACAGCTAAAAGTTAAACTCTTGTGCTACAGGTGGTTGGTTGGCCGATACATATTGGGGCAAATATAAGACAATCCATGTTGCTGTTGTGGTAGCTCTGTTTGGCCATGTTATTCTCATCATTTCAGCGCTGCCACCAGTGATCGCTAACCCGAGAGGCGCGCTCGGTTGTTTCTCTGTCGGCTTGATCTTCTTCGGCATTGGTGTTGGTCTTTTCAAAGCTAACATCTCTCCTATGATTGCCGAGCAGTATGAAAGCACGCAACCGAGAGCTATTGTCAAGACTTTAAAGAGTGGCGAACGCGTCGTGGTCGATCCCGTCTTGACAATTTCTATTATCTATATGCGCTACTACTTTTTCATCAATGTCGGATCATTGATTGGTTCCATTGCGATGGTGTACGCTGAGAAGTACGTCGGTTTCTGGCTCTCTTTCGTTTTGCCTACAGGCCTATTCATTATCTGCCCCCTCGTCTTGGTTGCTTTCAAGGCCAAGTACGTCCGTCATCCACCAACGGGCTCGGTTCTTAGTAAAGCAATTGCTTTGGTTGGTTTATCAATGAAGGGACGTTGGTCTTTTAACCCTATTACCACTATCAAAAACCTTCGTGAGCCTGGTTTCTTCGAGAGGGTTAAGCCGAGTAAGATACCTGAGTCCGAGCGCCCGGCTTGGATGACATTCGATGACCACTGGGTCGATGAGGTACGCCGTGGTTTTAAAGCCTGCAGCGTTTTCGTTTGGTACCCCATCTACTGGCTTTCATATAACCAATTAAACAATAACCTTGTTTCCCAAGCTGCAACGATGCATCTTGGAGGAGTACCGAACGACGTGGTTTTCAACCTCGATCCTTTCGCCCTACTGATCTTCATCCCTATCTGTGATAAGTTGTTTTACCCCGCCATGAGACGCGCTGGTATCCATTTCACCCCTATCAAGAAAATTACGACTGGTTTTGCCCTAGGAACTTTAGCGATGGCAGTTGCCGCTATTATTCAACATTATATATATATGCAAAGCCCGTGCCGAAGCCGAGACGGCTACGGGTATGTCGATGACTGCAGGGCGCATCTCGGACTTCCAGCTGATGCTCCAGAGTCTGAATATAAACCCCCGCTGTCAGTCTGGATTCAGACACCTGCATATGTCATTTTGGCACTGGCTGAGATCTGCTCGTCGATTACCGGTCTCGAGTATGCTTTCACGAAGGCGCCGAAGAATATGCGAGGTTTTGTTACTGGTGTCTTTTGGTTCTCTCAAGCTTTCGCATCTGCGATTGGCCAGGCCTTCGTTCCCCTCGCTGCTGACCCTAACCTCGTATGGCTATACATGACGATTGCTATCATCTCAGCCCTTGGCGGTGTTGGGTTTTGGTACAACTTTGCGAGCCTGGATCGCGAAGAGGAAGCTCTGAATGCACTCCCTGATAGCTTGTTTCAGGGAAGTCAAAACCAGGATGCTGACTTCGCTGCTCTCGAGGCGGCGCAAGTGGAACAGGAGAAAATTCGGCACGCCCAGGGACTCGATAAGGTTTTGTAATCGAGGGTCACTCTACTTGTGCGTTTATTATATATCCCGATTATATTATATTGGTAAAATACCTATGGTAAGAAGTAAACTAGCTACTTCGTGGCTAACAACACAGTAATGATTGCTATCCCAATTCACGGGATATAAAATATACCCAATACACATAGTCCTAAATTTAGCTAGTTAGGTGATTACCTCTTAGCAAATTCTGTTTGCCTACCTGGGTAAACATGAGATTCGCGGTGTGTGGGTGGCGCATTAGAGCTTCTCTTTAACGACCGCAATGTGGATTCCACCGTCTACCTGTTGTAGATATGTCCGTGTTCAAACTTAAACGGATGACCATGAAATAAACTTTTCGGCATTATATAACGCTGTTTCGTAGTAGTAACATTCTCCTCGGAACTTTTGCTTCGTCAATCCGAAGAGTGACGGGAAACCTTCCATGTACCTAAGGCATACAGGCGATTGAAAATATGCCCCGCCTTATCATCATACGCAACTTTCGAAGGTCTCTTCACTCGCTTCGTTCTACTAAAGTTATCAGCTTCTATAAAGTTCAGTACTCGTTGTTTGTTAGTCTTACTGGGACGTATATGATAACTCCGAACCCCGGATGCAAGACATTTCGTAAAGCCTTGTCCGGACGTATAATATTGGCAGGCTTAGCAAATAAGTTAATAATTTTGGAAGGACGGGTAGCTTGAGCATTTATCTTGCAGACGTGAGATCACTTTAATAACAATATAAAGAATCAAAATACATATCACAATCTATTTCTAGTCTCTCGGATACCCAGCCGCTCCTTGTAGGTATCCTTTGACGAGAAATGCTTTTGGTTCAGGGGCTATATAAGATTCCTCAAAATGTAGCTGCTACTTAGGTATTTAGCCTTGAACTTCTAAGTATCCGCAGCCATACGCATGCCAGGCCCCTGTATAGTAAATGGTGGTGTATAATTATGCGTTAGTGGATTGACAAGCCCTTCTCTCTGTTGAAATGAGTTATAAAAAGGGACCCCCTCCTCACTCATACTGTTGATAGACTAAGTCGTTGTACAACATACAGCTCATATACCGTATCTTTCAGCACTCTCAAATCACATCTGTACTATTAACTAAAAGAGAAGACGATGTCGGTAAAATATCTCAGATACTAAGTACTAACTACAAACGTAGATAATACAGAGAACTAGACTTGTGGCTTGGGTCACCGGGCATGTAGGTATTACCTTAACAAGCTCACCTCTGCCCTACAGCTCAGAAATCATCGGCAGAATACATGACCCCCTATCCTCCTTGCAATCGAATCTATTGGACGTAAGTTCCGCAGTATGGGCAATCACGTCCGCATAAAACCCATACTTCGGAACCCTCTTTTTGGCATTTTGGGCAACGCTTGCCTGGAGCCTACGATTAAAAATAGTTATATTAGCATGCTTTGCATTAGAAGTAGTTATACCAAGCTAGATTGCATACCTTTCCGTACATAGTATTCGGACGCTGACTGCTATCAACGAAGTTCCCAGCGATAGATAAACTGCCGGTACCAGTTGACTTGGCTTGTTGACCCGTCGTGCTTTTTCCGCTAGATTGGGTAGGTACATTTGTGCCAGAAGAGCCAGCGTTGTTGCTTGTGGAGTTGCCTTGCGAGGATGCCATTGTGATTGAAGATGGACTAAAAATGGTGTCGTGGTATATGGTTATTTTGATAGGAGAGAATTTCAAGGGGGGAAGAAATGTGTTTACGAGTTGTATTTATATCAACGTAAGGATCAATTCACTCTATTGAGTTGTGTATGAGTTTGATATGAGTTTGATACTACTCGAGTCATGGCTTAGCATCATAACGACCCATGATAAGACTAAGGAATGATAGGCTCCAATTGATGGTGCGCCTTTGTCTTTGATTTCGTCTCATAACTGACCTATGCTATGACATTAGTGTATGTTCTTAGACTATCAACTTGGGCATACATCGGTCCTTTATCCACAACTTCTTACTGGTAGTAGGTTACTGGGATATGTCAGAAAGTTTATCTTTAGTGAATGATTCCAACTACAAAAACAAACATCCTATGAATAGTATTAGTGATTTGGTTAATAAACTAAACTTCCTCATGAGTGAACAGTTGGTGATAAAGGCTTATTAGAAAACCGCCTTAGGAAAGTACCTAGTTAAGGTGAACATGATGTGAATTATGAATACTTATACAAGGCTACTTTGATCTAAAAATATCATATTGCCACCTCTTGCTCAAATCCATATATAATTCACTTCAATTGTTTGGTATTGGTATTAAGATGTTTGCGGGAGGTCATCACGCTTGAAACATTGCCTACCTCTATTTGCATTATCAAATATATTTAGGAAAAATAATGCTGTCATAGGCTTTATACTTTTTAGGCAATTGTTATTCCCGTCGCAAGTCCATTCCATGCTTCGTAGTGGTTATTCGTTATGCTCTCTTTTGCATTGACCAGGCTAGGTATCCTCAGATGTTCCTCAAAAGTACACCGTCATTCTCCAGCTCCTGGAAGACACCATAAGGGTCATATTTGGCTGCTACGTCCCGCATTTTCTTTAGATTTTCGGTCCCGTAGCTTTCTAACACTGTTTGCGTTGGGCCAGCATCATTCATAAAGCTGACTTTTTGGAGATCGCCTCCTTCCTCCGCTATATTCTCAATCTCACAGCGGAGGCGGTCGGCAGCCCGAATAACTGTCTTGTCAAGGTCCGCGTCTTTCCAAACTCCAGAGACTGCCCACCCTATATATGTATCAAGTATATCAGTGTAAGCCGTGTATGGGCGGAATACCTAGGGTTTGCAAAACCACTCACACATCTATGGTAGCCCCTCTAGTCCGAGTACGCTCCCTCCCTTCAGATCCCCTTCCTTCACGCCACTCGCGGATAGAGGCTAGATGCATAGGGGATTCAGAAGCGATAATATTATATTCTTCGACACGGGACCTATTGAGCCAAGCCTTAGCTCGCCGTACGTTACAGGTTATGACCTTTCCCGGCCAAGCGACATACCCGAAATGACAGAAACCCCCGTTTGACCCATGGACTGACATTTATCGGCATCCCCACGCACAGTTTGGCGAAGTAAACATCCCATAAATAGTACGACATGTATAGCTTGGGTATTATTCTTATAGAAATTGCTCTATGGAAGCCTATTGAGATGATCTTGAAAATCGAAGACTGGCGACAATAGAACCCAATGACTTGCGAAATGTACGTGTGAAACTACTAGACTTACCGGATGATAATACCGAAGTAAACAAAAGCGCATCGGCATCCAAAGATTCGAAGTATCTAGTGGAAGTTGGACGTAAATCTGGAAATTCTTATCACGATATCGTAGAGATATGTCTTTGCGCGAATGAGGTGGAGCGGCCAACATACAGAGGGGAGTCCCAAGCTTCCACTGCATCTCGGATGCGAATAATGTTTAAGCAATGTTACAGATAAGCTACGGTTAATGAAAGAAGTACTAGGCAGCTCAGGTTAAAACGCTTTGTTATGATCGCTTTCTTTTCTAATCACGTTAGGGAAGGGATTAGGAGGTATTTCCCATTCCTCGAGGACTCAGTCGGTACGTTCAGTATCATCGGTTTATTTTCAATCCGAGTGTCATGTCGATGATATGCTAGGCTTCTATAAATAGGGTATCTATGATATGAAAGTTGTTATAAAGCTCCGACTACCTAGGTTTGATGGTCAGAAACTCTGACAGGTACCTTCCAGGTAGGTACCTAACCCAGGTGGGTGGGTAGGTCGACTATCGCGAGAGTTGAGCAAGTGTTTGACGATGGTCAACTACCCCAAGTCAACTATCCTGTATCGTAATGTATCGACCGTCTTCTCGACACTGTCGCCCATCTAGGGGCGCCAAGCTGCGTCTTGATTTGCTGTTGAAATTTGGTCGGGTGATATCAACCAAAACCAAGCTACAGCCGAGTCCACACTTGAGTTGATGTTAAGGACTCGGCTAAGTTCCATATCGTTAATGTTAATGGTCCTTTCGCCTATCATGTTGTCTCTATCATGGTGACTTGTGGCTCGAGGAGCTCAAACGCTGGTGGTAATGGGGCTTTTTCAACCCATGCTCGTATCCCTTTAGCGAACAGTACAGGATCCTGCAAATTCCACGCGTGAATAGCATCTCTTACTACAAACGCGCGTGATTCCCTACCGTCATTCGAGCCCAATGACTCCAATAACTGTCCCATTTCTCGCATACCCTCGACATTATCCTGCTTGCCTCCGGCGACTAGGGCGATTCTTTTATCCTTCTTTCCAACTTCTACCATGTCATCTCTCCTCCAATTACCTGTGTCACGAGTCCCTGCTCCGAACAATTGTGATGTGTTATTCCGCTTGATTTCTTTCACAAGGTCTTCATTTTGATACTCCGGAGCCCATCCTGTTGCTTTGAACAACCAGCTTCTCGGGCTATATAGTAGAACTGATAGCCCTATATGAACAATCTTCGGCTGGGAGTTTATGCTCTTCCATACATCGTTGACTGGAGTAGCGCCTGACAAGAAGGCGCTCAGAACGATATCTGGATGCCGTTTTATTATTTCCATTGCCACAAATCCACCCGTTGATAATCCAACGAGATGTGCCCGTCCGTCGTGAGCATGTTCCCGGATTATTTGGGCCACGAGATCAGCAGCTAAGACGAACGAGAAAGGTTTAACATGACGTGAGCGCGAGTGCTGCGGTAAATCGGGTATGAGAAGATGGTATTCGGACAGCTTGGGCCAGCAATGTTGCCACTCAAGATGAGAGCTCAACAAGACGTGTAACATCACGATCGTGACGGGCGCAAGAGAGTTAAGCGAGGTAAAGAACAAACCCTCACTGTCCGATACGCTTGCTGTAGTCCAGCTACTGGTAGACATCGTCCTACTACCTATAGGTAATGTAGCGTCTCTACTCCGCCAACTACTGCTGGTAGTTGCCGAAGATATAACCCTGCGCATCGTAGCTAGTGTGGTCTTCTGATCGTATGATAGCCTTGGAACCGCCGGGCCGTTGCCTAACTCTCACTTAGACACCGTACCCATAGGATAAATCGTATAATAATCGCGAAATTCCGTGTTAAGGTATGTTATTGAAAGAATTCAATATCCTTGTTGTACCTAATTGTGCCGCAATCAATGGAGAAGCGATATGAACTTTGCGGCGTAGCGAGGAAATAAACGTAGTCCCACTGGACCGTTCAGCCAGGCGTTTAACAGGATTCGAGAACCACTGTCATCACCTGATTTTTTTCTACGCTCAGCTTGTTCTGCGAACGCCGCCTCGACGCCGAGGCCGTTACATGGTAAGTTCTCCAGACTTCCTCGCCTGACATCCATAGTGGGCTCTCGGCATGTCTGGATCCATCGAAGCGCATGAATGTTGCTCGAAGTCCAACATACTGAAATAAAAAAGAGCTTAGCGTCATAAATGTGCCGGCATAGTCGTTTCATTGGCTGGTTTCGTTGATGAATAAGGAGAAAGTCCATTCCTGGATTAGCGACCCAGGAAGACGATACGCTTTCAGATAAACCCGCTGACTAGCAACGCACGGTCTTCAGACAGATCAGGTTTCATTCCATGCTATCTACGTAGTGATTTACTCTAGGGTGAGACCATTTCGGAATAACCCTTGCATCAGGGGTGCATTGAACTCCCACGTGAGGTTCAAATATTATAAGACAAGGGCCGAGGTTTATAAAATACTTAATATATTTCAATGTGTCTCTCGTGTCATATCGAAACTCGTATCTTATAATCACCGCACGGATCGATCCAGATATCACTAATCAAAATGCCTTTAATTCTCTCGACTCAATCAATCAGTTGTGGGATTAGTCCGAGGTAGATGTCGTATATCGTCTACTAGGTTCACGCAATTTAACGTAAAATGGCACGGTGATAATGCTATATCCAGCATTCTCGGTCTCGTATCAGGAACTTGGATCGTGGAGTTTATCTACAATCTAGTTAGATTTCGGGAAATCCCGACGATGAAGGCAACACTAGCCTCCTGTTCTGCTGACAAGCCGCGGCCCCAAAAACGCATGCTTTCTTATTGTCCCGATATTATGTCCTAATGAGTGAGCTAAGCGCGGCTAGTAGACATTCAAGAGAAAATCCCCGAACTTGCGAACTAAAACCCGGCCCAGGGACTTGGGTTACGAATAGCAGGAATCAAATAGCATGGTTATCTAACAAGGATAAAATTAAAACGTACATAGAGTGGGGGTTATTTATGTAGCTTCGATCAGGCTAGTTAGCTACCTAGGTTAGTGTTATCTTAGGTTAAAACCAGAATGGGAGTTGATATATTGTATCATCCACTCAGCACTGCTACACCTAATTTCGTCCAGGGTGGTTGATATCGTACATTCATGTTTATCTTGGCTATTGTTAACTTAAGCATTTCTCTCACATCTCGTTTCGAGTTTTGCTAGGGGTCACTACCTTAAGAATCGATTATGTTAGCACCCTGTTCCTAGGATGGCCTATCGTCTAAACACTTAGTAGTAGGTTTCTTAGGAGCCGGAGTTAAGGAAGACGGCTATAACGGTAGTAAGCTTGAGGCATAAATCAGCAATATATCGGAATAACCTTTCACCAGGCCCTCTTAACCGAAACAACCATTCCATACCTTGAGTAGTACTCGACAGCGAATATACCCAGGTACCAACCATCGACAGCGCCATATTCAATGTAGACGAAATATAAATATTATTAACTACTAAAGCATAACAAGCAACGTCGCTAATAGCAAGCATCAACGAGAATCCACAGCTGCTAAGTAGGAAACCTGCTAAGTTCTTTCTACTTTTATAACTGCAGGCTTCGGTGGTCGCACTGAGTTTCCAGAGAATACAGACTTGGACTTTTGTCTAAGTATATCACACAGGCCCATTTCAGCTACTGGCAGTCTCGGTGTACTGGCACTGATGCTGGTAACAGTGCTGGCGATTGGTCCACTGCAATATAATAGATGTTCCTCGTCATCCGCCTTGCTCGGGGCCAGCTTATTACACTGACAGCCGCTGCGAAAATGCTCCGTAACGTAACCGTAGCTCTCTCGCACTTTGAGCCAGAATGGACGCAGCACGGGAAGGCAGAGTGAGAAGATGGCCAATTCAGGCTCGAGCACACGAAGGTGCATATCACGACTACCGTAGGAAACGACCGTGGATGTTATATACTTGTTTGCGCGTAGAAGAGCACTTATTCGTATGCAGGAGACCACGGTGACGCTGGGATTAATGTTAATCCCTATCACATCTAACTTATGGGGCGGTTAACTTACCAGAGTCCCAGACCGAAGAGTACCGTTAAATTTATCTTGGACCTAACCCTCATCTTTAGCGTCCAGATAGGTCGTATGGGTAGAAGAAGGACGATGGCATTCGTGACCACGTTGAAAACTGCATTCCCAATGTCAACCTTCTTATTATCCACAACGTGACCGAATATTGGTTTTCCCCAGAGGTCTGCCGCGACCTCCGAAAGGGTGAAAACTTGTACATATACTGCTATATACAACAGTATTATGATAGAGCCGATGGTCAGGCAGAGTACTCGGAACGACTTGTGGATGAATATTCTCATGTATAAATATATGGCGCTGAGTTTTGTGAAGCACATGGAGGTCAAATAGAGGGATTCGAAAACAAGGAGGACCTAGTATAAAGGTATTAGCATAGCTCATAACGATTTAAGTAACCTTCAAATAAGGATACTTACGCAGAGAATATCCTTATCAATTCGGTCTGGCGAAACACGATAGTATCCTTCATTCCATACTAATGAAAAGTTAGCAGAGCCGCCGCTAAGATGAGAACTTGACATACAATAGACAGAGACTGCAAATAATGCAATCTCTAGAGCGACAGCGACGAGTATAAACCCATCATCCCACCCAACGCCTTTCGTCAATCGCCTGCAATGGAAACGTAGCCCAACTGCGACCAAGCTGATCGTGAATATGGTGCAGCTGATAGCGAACACGGGCGCATCCATATTCTTGCGGGTTGAGGTCGAGCGACCGATGTTTTACTGTATTTGACGCTATGGCGCATTTGAAATGGATATATATATTGTTCTTTAACTTTCATCTTGATTCCTTTGGCCTGGTGTTTCGTGATTAAGATTTTCAGTCACATTGGTTAGGGTTGCTCACAAGTGTGTAGGTAGAAGAAGGCTGAGACCAAGTCATAGCCCTGCATCATACGTCGTACGCGAACAATTCAGATCATATGTATCATGCATCCAATTGTTAATGTTAGTAATTTGAATTTTATCTTGTAAGGGTTCAAGTCACTGTCTGTAAAATAGGTGAATAGGTAGTAAGTGCATCTTAGTAGTTAAATTCATACCGATATCTTAGCCAGTCCGGTATTAAAGCCGCTCATTACTACCTACCTACTTACGCCTAATTGATTGTTTTTGAATCATTATTCAACTCTCTTGGCTCTTTCTTGACTTATTGTAGGATAAAGTTACCTGTGACTGTACAATGTCTGCGAAAGTAAGGTAGGTACTCAACGTATGACGAGGTACGATATATTGGTAAGTTGGGTGGAAGTTCTACACAGAATTTAATTATTAAGGGTTATCAACGTAACGGACAACTCACCATTGCTTGCGCGAGGAGATAATTGAGCTCAGCTAGTTTCCCTACTTCATGTCAGGATTCTAGATGAGACATCTAGAACAAAGGACATGTTCAGTATGTATAGACATATATCCTCGTAGCTAGGTTAGAGTTCCTCGCGGAACAACGAAGTTGTCACCATACTGTTTAGTTCCACCTCGTGACACTTCCCCCATCCTCTCAAGATGATAGCAAGGCTATGGCCGCGGTCACAAGGGCAATAGGAACTTCCTTATAATGTACTTCAGGGTTATGAGGATTATTATATCAACTTATTATTTTCTAATAGTCTTATTAATGCTTATACCCATCATACTAGTTGTTCAGCTTATGCTATAGCTCGAATCGTCGATACAGGTATTTAAATTAATATGGTAGTAGGATATGTACCTAAGACAGGATGGTTTGCTGACGAGTTTAAAAACTCTGACCTGACGTCTACTTAGTTCAGTGATCCATATGGACTTTTCACGACATTGTTACCATCATGGATAACGGTTTCTATGACGAAGACTCTCTGAAGTACTAGAACCATAAAACTAGATTCTAACCTTAAGTCTAAATAATTAAGGAATTCTTAATGAAGTTACTCCAAATGGTGGAATTGAATTTTCCGTCATATTCGTGTTGCCTTTGGTACCTAAGGTAAATACTCACTAGGTAGGCTCTTTATGCTGTTTGCGATAGGTTGGTATGAATACTATACAAATGGCACGGAATAAATTTGGTATAAATTTAAAAATTCTTGTAATACGCATGAAGAAATACCAAACAGACCTGGAGCGGGTTTAAAGCTTGCTGCATACTCGACTGGATTAATTGAGATAGTACTTAAACAATTTTGTCATTCGACTCAATACGACCTGCCTGCATGAAGAATGCGACTTATTATGTAGTTGGCACGTCTTGGCATTGGGTTCGTCTGTCAACTGACATATAGGGTCTCATCCGATCCTACAGCAGGTCAACGGGGACCCGGCCGGACTGCAGAAAACCTGCATGGCCGAAAACTAACTTTAACCGCTCCTATAGCCGACACGGCAGCGAGTATATACCTAGGGGCGAGTATATAGGGGCGAGACATCAAAACTGGGTTACTAGCGTATAAATATTTACGCGTCAATAAACATGAAGAGTAGCATGTTATGGATCCGACCCCAAATAAAATATTAAAATATTAAAATGCATGCGTGGGAGGCGGGCACAAGCTGTCTTTGGTGCGCTTGTCTCCGTCGTGGGCCTCGACTCGTATTTCAATCTATGCCGCGGGAGATCTTACCCCAGAAATCCGGATATCCATATTGCTTCTCCACAGCGGGTGAGAGCTTTACCCCTGGTTCTCGCCCATTATATGAACAGGACAGCTCGCTGGTGCGTAGACATGTCGCACGCTCGTTCGAATTGCATGTCGATCCCGCATGCACACTTCGGCTGCTTGCATCTGACGTTATAACCTAGCCGCCTATCTTACCTCGAGATGCATTACCTCCGAGCTTTACTCCTTGCGACGCTGTCGTCGCTCGCCGAGGCGAGTTTGCAAGTAGTGCCCGGCGCTACTTGGACTACGGTACGACCCTTTCAATCCTAAAATATCAGTCGTAGTAGCATATCCCCTATTCCCCCCTATTTCTCCCTTGTTAGCCCCTTTTCAATACCATCTTCAACTCCACAACAGCTCCACACCAAGCACAGCCTGCTGTATAGGCACTCAGCCGCTAATATATCCTCGTATAGTCAAACAATGAGCACTTGCAAGCCCATGGCGCCGGTGTCATCAAGGTCGACTCTACATACTACCTAATCGGCGAAGACAAGACGGAGGGAAGTGCCTTCCAGAACGTCAACTGCTACTCTTCCCCAGACTTGGTGCAATGGACCTATGTCGGCGCGCTCCTCTCGCGTACCTCCAGCGGCGACTTAGGCCCGAACAGGGTCGTAGAGCGGCCTAAGGTAGTCTATAACGCCAAGACGGGCAAGTACGTGTTGTACATGCACATCGATTCATCCAACTACGGGGAAGCCAAGGTTGGCGTGGCGACTGGTGACTCTGTGTGCGGCAAGTACACGTACGTCAACTCGTATCAGCCACTGAACCACCAGAGCCGTGACATGGGTCTATTCGTCGACGACGACGGCGCGGGTTACTTGCTAACCGAAGACCGCCAGAACGGCCTGCGCATCTTGAAGTTATCCGACGACTACCTTAGCGTGGCGAGTAGCACGTACCTATGGTCTGACAGCATCGAAGCCCCGGCTCTGCTTAAGCTGAATGGACGTTACTACATGTTCGGCTCGAAGCTCACCGGCTGGGACCCCAACGATAATGTGTACAGCACATCGACATCTCTAAGCTCGGGGTGGAGCGCGTGGAAGACGTTCGCCGACTCCGGCAGCAAAACATACACCTCGCAGACCAACTACGTGTTACCAGTCGGCAGCAACGCCGCCATCTACCTCGGCGACCGGTGGGTGAGCAAAAACCTGATGGCATCGACATACGTATGGCTGCCCCTAACCATCAGCGGGACCACCGTGACCATGGCCAACGCCGAGTCCTGGGTTCCAGACCTATCCTCGACATCGTCTTCCGCGTCGAAAGCCAAGCCGTCGGAGACGGCATATGAAGGCGAAGCCGCTGTATACGGTGGCAAGACGCGCAACGTAAGCTGCAGCAGCTGTTCTGGACAGACGGCGGCGGGCTATGTGGGAGGCCCGGACAAGGGAACCGTGACGTTCCGGGGAATACGAAGCGACGCGAATGCGCGCACAACCGTGCGCATACGTTACGTGAACGGAGACAGCTCGGCGCGATACGCAAACGTGCGAGTGAACGGCGCCGCTGCGCAGAAACTAGCATTCCTACCAACAGGCAGCAGTGTGTCCAGTAGCACACTACACGTCGACCTAAAGTCTGGCAGTACAAATGAGATAGTCATCGAAGGCATAAACGACGGATGGGGACCTGATATCGACAGATTGATAGTTCCCGTGCAGTGAGCCTAGTATGATACTAGATTAAAGAGATTGGAGGAATGAATGATATTGATACAACGTATATAGTACTCGAGGTATCATAAGTTCTAACAATGTAGGCCCTGTATGTTGACACTCTGCGAGTCGCCTGTCATACGTTAGAAGTGTTACCCCCAACTTGTATTTCCACATGCGCCTTTCATACCAGTCAAATTTGACCTTCCAGGCTCTTCCATTCATATATGTATACCAAGCCCCCAAAACTACATGCTACATTGATCTACAATCCCTGCTAGAAAGCTCGAGGAAATAGACGCTTTAGAAATAGCATTGGCAACAGCCGCCGGACCAGCCGAGGAAATAACAGCCAAGCAATACGGATTCGAGGGATAATCCCTCGCTTGCTTTACACCCTCTGTTCGACGACAACAACAACATTCAACAACCTAGTTAACGACGCCTACCACACCTCCCCCCCAACTTGCCTTCAACGATACGACGACATTAGAACCACACGACCTTGCGCCCATCCCCTCCAACTCCCTAAAGGGAGATTGACAATTATTATTGTGGAAACTCCATGAACTAGGAAACCATTTCGCGTTGGATAGACCGTTCTCAGACGGTAACATATAATGGAAATGCTGGGAACGACATGTCCCTAACAGGGTTGACATATGCGGCATATGGCCTTGCAGTCAAGACTGCGGCCCAAGTCGTTGCCTAATAGTGGCGTAGCTAACTCTATTAGCAAGATAGACCTTGCTCAGTCATTTGAAATGGCCGACGAGTATTAAGTTATCGCAACTGGCGCCCAGGGAGCTGTGGCTACAATAATAAGTCGCAAATCTCGTCTGGGATGGGTGCAATACTATGATATAGCAAAGAAAATGGTATCAAGTCGTAATGAGCCATAAACGCCGCGCCAGGTCCTGTAAACAAACGTGCTGCAAGTTGATAATGTGAATAAACCATATGGGTCCAGAGGCGAATTCACTGAGACGTGGTGTAAACTGATCACCAGCCTTTCTTCCTGGCAAAGCGCTTATTTAGCAAGGCCAATACCTTCGTGACGTTGAATTGCACGTATTCCAGATCCAAGTCGTCTTGGTTGTCCTTCTGCATTTCTAACAGGTCGTCAAGCTTCAGGTCAAGTTCTAATAGACCACGGTTGCGCCCTATATGCTGATTAGCTGGGGGAAAATGAGCGATGTTTGTTATAACTAACCTTTATAATGTAGCGAAATGACAAAGGTCCCCGGTAAAGGACTTGTGAAATTGAAGTAGATGTTAGCTCTCCTATTGTCGGGAACATTGCTCTTCTGGATGACACCTTCCTTTTCTAGCTGTTGGTGAGTAAATTTATATGGTCCAAGAACTTGCTGCTTCTGCT